AAAAACCAAAAAAAAAAAAAAAGATCCCTGGATGATTTCATGCAGAGGTGTTTTGGGGTTTTTTTGCTTTTGTTTTTTTGTTTCGTTTAGTTTCGGCACTGGGGGGCTGGGGATATATATAGCTCAGCAGCACAGCTCCTGCCTAGTTTTGGCTCTTGGGATTTAACCAGACCTTTTTTTTTTTTTTTTAAATTTAAGAGAGGGTCTCACATGCCTGTAATCCCAGCACTTAGGGGGCTGAGGCAAGACGATCACTGTGAGTTCAAGGCCAGCCTGAGCCACATAGTGAGACCCTGTCTCAAACAAACAAACAAACAATAAATAAGATAGTATCTCATCATATCGCCTAGTTGCCCACGCTGGCCTTGAACCTGTGATCCTCCTGCCTCAGCCTCCCACATGGTAAACTCAGAGCAGCTGGAGGGCTTGTTGGAACAGATTGCTTGGCCCACACCAGGAGTTTCGGATTGAAGAGGTCTGCGTTTCCCATAGTCCCCGGTCTCACCCACACTGCCGTCAGGGGCTGCTGTCTTTCTGACCTGGCCTGGACCCTACAGGAGTCAAATCACTGCCCACTGTGATTCACCTGAGGAATTCTGAAACGCGGATGCCTGGGTTCAGATCCCAAAGGTGTGGGAGTGTGGCGGCCGGGGGTCAGCGCTTGGGGCTCTGTGTGCTGAAGTTTGAGAGCTGCTGCTCCAGTAGACCCACTGCATTGTGAACCCCCACAGGGGCAGAGCAGATTTTGCCCTTTCAGAAGTCACAAGCCACCCAGGCACTGTTCCCATCCCCCATTCCCGGGTGGTCATGGACCAGGTCTCCTGGGTAGGCAGTAACTGAGGACACATGGGACTGCAGCCTTCCTGTGGCCACCAGACCGGACTGGACAGGAGTGGAGTGCAGTGGAGCGCAGCCTGGGCCAGCAGGGCCGGGGCCCACACCTCCATCTCTCACACACAGACGCTGGCAGAGCAGGAAGGGCTCGCACACCCTGTGGCGCCATTCTAACTTGGGGAGGGGGAGGTGTGGGCCAGCAGCCTTCCCTGGAGCCAGCTGGACAGGACTGAGATGTAATAGTGGGGACAGGGATCCCAGGGAGGTAGTTTTCCCACAGTCCCCCATTTAGCTTGTTTTTGGAGCCATAGCTGCCTGCCAGTAGCCCCCCAGGTCCTGTGCTTCCTGGGTCACACCCAGTGGAAGACGGCCTGCTCCCCTCAGCTCTCCGAGAGCTCCCAGCAGGCACTTTCTGCTGACCTGCTGGCCAGAACCAAGCCACATGCTAATTCCTGGGCCACTCATTGGTGGACGGTGGGATTACCCTTAGCCTCGTGGCTCCCAGCCGGGGCTGGTGTGCCCACAGGTGACATTTGGTTATCACAACTTGGGTGACAACTGCCATTTAGTAAATGGGGACTGGGTTGCTGCTAAACGTCCTGCAGTCACAGGACAGCCCAGCAACAAAGAGTTCCGGCCTAAAATACTCAGTGTCAAGGTTGTAAACTGTGCCACAGACTTATCAGGGTCACCCCATGGGCTAGTGTCTGTTCCCCAAAACAATGGACCGGGCAGAAGACAGGAGGGAGCCACAGGTTCCAACCTGGCCACTCTTGGAGGGGTTCTACCTGGGTTTGTTCCCACCGTGGGGACTCTAGTCAGACTTCAACGTGACATGACAAGAGGCAACTCGGAGCCCCCGCCTCCTGTTAATCTGCCTTGGGGGGCGTGTGTGCGCACCCACACGCACGTGTGTCTGTCTCTGCAGGACCAGGCCCCAGGACACCATGGGGTGGTGGTCTAAAGCACCTGAAGGGCAGAGGACAAACTGCTCCCTCAGCTACTTGAGGTTCAAACCCTCTGCCAGCTGACAAACCTCTAACTTCAGCCTTTGATCTGCTGAGGACGCTGTGAGCACGAGCGCTAGGAAAGGCCTGGCGGCCTCGCCTACTGGATGCTACAATGCAGGAAGCACAGCAGGCTTCTCATACAGCAGGGAGACACGTGGAGATTGAGAGGGTGAAGGACTCGGAAGACACGGCTCAGGGAGACCCAGGGCCTCCAAGGCCAGGGCCACATCTTCCGGGACCCTCACTGTCAGCCCGGTCCCTGCACACACAGCTTAGGGCCCCCAAAACCCCAGGCCTTGGGGAACCTTGAGGGGCAGGGGGCACCCCCTGGGGCAGCGTCCAGACCTCACCTCACCGCTCTCTTGCAGACCCCATGATGGAGCTGGCAGGCCCTGACCCCTCCGAGCTTGATGGCCAGCAGGAGCTGGAGGACTTCGAGGAGAACGCCTACTCCTACGGTGGCGTGGATGGCAGCGCTGAGGCGGGCGCGCTGGCCGGGCAGGCCATGAAGGAGATGGCCTACTACAACGTGCTATAGCGCGGCAGGCAGCGAGGGCTCGGGCGGCTGGCATGGGGGTGAGACCTGAGCTTCGGGCCGCACCTCCGCAGCCCAGACCGAGATACCACCCCACAGCCTGGCCTGCGCCCCCCACCCAGTCCTTTGCACCACTAGGGACCTTTAGACCAAATGGAGACTGTACTACTGGCCTCGCCGGAGCCGGGCATCCCGGCGAGGGGAGGGTCACCGAGAGGCCCAGGCCGGGTCTCCTTGACCTGCTGCTGGGGGCGGTGGTAGGGGGAATGCTGGCGGAAAGGGCACAGGGCCACCTCAGGCCTGCAGAGCTGCCCTGGGTCCTGACACTGCAGGGAGAGGTCCCCGAGCCAGGCCTGTTTCTCTTCTGGACCAATCCAGGGATGTCTGAGCCGTCTGCTGGCCGGCACCGCCCACCCCGCCCGACCCAGGCCCAGAGCCCCTTTGCCCACCCAGCCACCCCACCTAGTCACCGGACAGCCCGGCAGGGTCTTCTGCCTTCTACCTCGGGGCCTCCCTCGCACCAAGCCCCGCCGACCTGTAGGAAAGCTGGACACCGCGCCTCCCGCCACCCCGAGAGCCTGTCCTGCAGCCCTGTTTGGAAGGAGCATCCCTGAGGCAGAGTTTGATAAATTTTACCCAGTTCTGTCCTTGGCTGGGGTACCACACAAGGTCCCCCACTAAACAACACCAGGACGCCCGCAGGGCAGGCACACAGGAGCCGAGACAGATGGAGCAGGCAGGGCACAGCATCCCTGGGGACAAGAGGGGCCGTGCTCAGGGAGGGCCAAGGCCCGCCTGTGGGGGAGAGGGGACCTTAGTCATTGAAATGGGGTTAGCCACGAGTCAGCAGGCTCCCGGAAAAGAGAAGCGTATTTAAAAAGGAAAATGAAGACCATAGAGGAAAACAGATTTTTGAACAAATGGGGGTATTATGAAGGTAATTTATTATTTTTTTTTTTCTTTGCAACTCTGTGTCGCCTGTTATCCTTCTGGATAGAGATGCATTTCTTTTTCCACACGTAAGCTTTCTTGTGTGCTGTGCGTGTTTTGTGCCTCCTCAGCCCCGGGCAGCCTGGCCGGGCTCTGGGGACCCAGGCGCTCAGGCCTGGAGGTGCAGCCAGGGGCGGAGGCTGGGAGTTGGGGCGGGAGCTGGGGACAGCCGGGGCCTCTGCTCCGTACCACGTCTGTGCCTGACAGCCTGGGCCACTCGCCCACCCACTGCCACCCCTCCCCGACGCAGTGGGGCAGCACATTCAGGAACTCCAGGGTGCCCAGCTCTGCCACTGGCCTCCCAGGCTCCATGGGGAGGGGCAGGCAGGGCTGTCCCCACAGGCATGGGTGACACTGGAGGGACACAGCTGGGCTGTCCCCGACGCGGTATCCCTCAGTGAAGGACCAAGCCAGGCCTCAGGGTAATGGATGGACAGGGCTGGGGGTAAACACTGGCCCCCAAGTGTGGCTCTCCAGACCCCAAACCCCACCCCCCTCTGGCCTCCCAGGTGCCCGCCATGATGACCCTCAGGTGGCAGTGACTCCGGCGTCACTGTACAAGACATTTTCTCCTGCTGAGCAGAAAGCATCACCCCTGCAAACTACCTCTTCCCACGTCTTTCTCCCCTGGTACCAAAAAGAACCCTGCTCCTCCTCCCCCTGCCAGCGCCTGGGCACTTCTTGGAAGCCGGGCCCCCTCTCCTGCCCTCTCCCCCAGCGCCCTGGCCCTGCCCCCGCAAGGCTCCTACTTGAACGCCCCTGCCCTGTGCCTTGTACCCGGGCACCGCAAAGGGAGCAGACAGCACACTCCAGTCTAGCGGGGCAGCCTCGGCCAAGCTCCGGCCCTCACCCCTCGGCCTCTCGGGTGACCTGCAGACTCCTGGATGGATTCCATTCTAACTTATTTTCACGTGTATCCGAACCGACCATTAGAGACCCCACTTGTGCAAAACCCTACTGTGTTTTTATGTTCCTGTTTAAGAGAGAAGTTTACTTAGCAATAATTATAAATAAATGAATATTCTTTAGTGAGGTGACTGCAAGTGCTTCTTCCCACAGCTCTCGGGGACCCGCGCTAGGAGGAAGTCCCAGCGAGGCTTCCGGGCCCACATAGAGCAAAGCCTGTCACTCTCCAGGAGCCAGGGACCATCCCCAGCCCTGGCATGGGAGTGGCCAATGACAGTGCCAGGTACAGGCCAAGGCCACCGAGAAAAAGTGCTTCATTCCCTCCCCAGCCCCTTAGCTCCAGACAGCGAGCTGGCGGTCCGGGCTGAGCTTCAGAGGCTGCCTCCTAAGGATGTCTGAGCAGTGGCCGGAAGTCCTAAGCCTCTCCCAGAGGGCCAGCACTCTAGCTTTTCCTCCTGAGGCTGGAAATGGAGGGGACTGCCCAGGAAGAAGGGGCTGCCTGGAGGGCGGGAGGTGGTGCTGGAGCCCGCTGCAAAGCTACCAGGGCATTAGGAGCAATGATTGTTCCCAGCCAGGCAAACTGGTGCACACCTGTGATCCCAGCACTCTTGGAGGCTGAGGTGTAGGAAGATAGTTAAGGTTGAGCCTAGCTTGGGTAACTTAACAGTTTACCAGCATGCTCTCAAAGCCGGGCGTGGGGGCACATGCCTGTAATCCCAGCACTCGAGAGGCTGAGACAGGAAGATCGCTATGAGTTTGAGGCCAGCCTGGGCTACAAAGTGAGCTCAAGGCCAATCTGAACTGCATAGTGAGACCCTATCTCAAAAGGACAAAGAAAAGAAAAGATGCTATCTCAAAAAATAAAGAGCTAGCTGAGCATGGACAGGCACATCTATAATCCCACCACTTGGGAGGCTGAGGCAGAAGGATCACTATGAGTTTGAGGCAAACCTGAGCTACATAGTGAATTCAAGTCCAGCCTAAACTGCATAGGATATTCTCAAAAAAATAAAAAAGAGGCACATAACTCAGAGCCAAGGCCATGGGTTCAATCCCCAGTACTAAAAAAAAAAAAAAAAAAGGACTCCCAAGCACAGGGTATCAGGAGCCATGAGAATACCACCAATCTTCAGGTTCCTGAATACACTTGTCTCTTGGTGTTCACACTGAATCGGCCCCAGGACCCCCAACCCATGGGCGTCAAAATCCAAAGGTGCTGCCAGGCGTGGTGGCGCACGCCTGTAATCCCAGCACTCAGAAGGCTGAGGCAGGAGGATGGTTGCGAGTTCGAGACCAGCCTGGGCTACAAAGTGAGCTCAAGGCCAGCCTGAACTGCATAGAGAGAACCTGTCTCAAAAAGACAAAAGAAAAAAAAAAAATCCAAAGGGGCTGAAGGTCCCTTCAATAATGCAGAATCCACTCATATCGTATAATAGCAGAAAATGCCCCCCAGCCAGGATACTTCAGTTGCCACATGATAGTTCCTGTTGCAGTTCTGGTTACTCCTGTCTCTTAGAAACAGCTAGTCACTGAGATGCAGATTGTAAGAACCAGGCAAGGACAGCCAAGTACTCTACCTCTGCCCCGCCCCCTCCTTACCACCCCATAAAACCTCCCTGGGCCTTCACGGCCTGACTTTGAGGGGTGGGGCGCGTTACTGGAAATAAACTCAGGCCCTCATGCTTGCCAGGCAGGCGCTGCGCCACTGAGCTAGATCCCCAGCCCCAAGGCCTGACATTTTGAGGAACAATTGATTCCTAGGTGGGAAATTAAATCTGCCTCCAAATCCTGGGTGTCCTCTCCGTGTTTCTGTTTGCAGCAGCCCTAGCTTCCTCTATACATTGTCTCTAGCCAACTTGTAATGCCTGCAACAGTGTAAACGCTACCAAGGAGTTGTTACACTGTATTGTTTAGCAGTAATGACAAGGCTAGGGAAATCAGCACAAGTTCAGTACAGATGCAGTTTTTCTACCCAAATAGTTTCAATCCGAGTTTGGTTGAACACACAGAGGTGGCATCTTTGGATATAGAGGCCGACTGTACCTATCTCTTCAAGCAAAGACTATTCAGATCTTCCACAGACATTTTACACTGAAGAGTAGAAATACAATCTGCATAGAAAAAGGTGCTTTAAATTGAACATATGTAGCTCTGGAGCAGTTTTTTTTGTGGTTCTTGTTTTTGTTTTTTTGAGACAGGATCTGTCTATGCCATTCAGACTGTCCTTGAACTCACTATATAGCCCAGGCTGGCCTCAAACTTGTGATTCTCCTGCTTTAGCCTCCCGAGTGTGGGGCAACTTTTTATCACCTCTTCTGGTTTTGCCAGAATGTGAAAATGTACGCAAGCCTGGGTGATGGGGCCCCCGTACCCACACACAGGCCCCAGGAGGGCCCATTTCATTACAGAGAAAAGAGGCCTGGAGACATTCAGAAGGTTAAAACCAACAGGGGAAGAAACCCATGGAGACCCATTCTTGGGGAAATGATACAACCCCAAAGTAGAAAGCTAGGTAGAACGGATCATGCTAGGAAAGCAGGCCTGTGTCCCCGTAGTCCCAGAAGCAGCTCAGGCCAGGGAGGCCCACACATTGCCTGGCCCCACAGTCCTCACCCCGCAGTGGCCCCTGACTGGCCTGCTGTGGGCCGAGGCAGCCTCACCAGTCCGTAGTAAATCCACAGACTTCCAGGGCCGCTGCCTCTGGGCCGCACCTGCCTCATTCCCCACAGGGACAAACACAGCAGACAGTTTTGTGAAGAGCTTTTTAGTAGCTAAATATGGCACCGTGTGTTCCAAGGGTGATATAAATTACAGTGTGCAGGACACGCTGGCTGCTGAGGTAAAGCACACTTTCTGCCCTACACCGCCATGAGGGGAAGGCACACATTCTCTTAAAAACATCTTATAAAAAATGTCCCCTAGAAAGGCCTCCAGAGAGGGCTGTGAGGCTTACCCATGCGGCACGGGCAGGGCACTCAAGACTGGCCGCACCTCCCTACTGCTTGCCCAGAGCTCTGTCAAGGTTGCTCTTGATGGTGTCCAGGAAGTCCGTGGTGTTCAGGAAGTGCTCGTTCAGCTTCACACTGAGGGAGGGACACACCATTGGCATCAGGGCCTTTGCAGGTGCGGAGGCCACTTGGCTGCTGAAAGGCCAGTGAACCCCACAGGTGCTCCCTGAGGTCTTTGTTTTTGTGTGTGTTTTTCTAGGAGACATGTGACTGGGCCCAGGCGCTCCAGGGAGAAGCTCGGGTGTGGCTCAGGAGGGGACAAAGGCTCTGAGCAGCTGGGCACCCAGACCGACCACCTCCCCCAGCCCAGTCTGTGGAGCCCTGGCCTGAGCTGCTCCCCAGGGCCGCTGTGTCCTACCCCGCACCCGGAGCTGCCCCGACTCCTGAGAATGGCAGCCAACCCCCGCCTGTCCCTGGGCCACGCACTTGCTCAGGCCGTGGATGCAGCCTGCCAGGTCCTTGGTCATGGCCCCGCTCTCCACGGTCTCCACGCACACCTTCTCCAGCGCCTGCGCAAACCTGCGGGGACAGCAGAGTGAGCCCCACCGCGCTGGCCAGGCCCCCGAGCCGCTCAGCCCCCGCCCTGCTCCATGCTCACCTGATGAGGTCCTGGTTCCCGTCCAGCTTCCCACGGTGCTCCAGGCCACGTGTCCACGCGAAGATGCTTGCGATGGGGTTGGTGCTGGTGGGCCGGCCCTGAGGATGGGCTGCAGGGGATCAGCGCGGAGTCCCCCAGATGCGGCTGCCCGCCCTGAGACTCGCGGTCAAGTCTCCTCCCAGCCACCAGGGCCAGCAGCTTTGACACGAGGGTGGACGGCACTGTGTGGCCACACGCCCCGCACGTACCTTCTGGTGCTCCCGATAGTGGCGGGTGACAGTCCCATGAGCTGCCTCTGCCTCTATGGTCTTCCCGTCTGGGCAGACCAGCACAGACGTCATCAAGCCAAGGGATCCGAACCCTGTGGGGTGGGGGTTCTCAGCGCCGCGAAGAGCAGCAGGGCTGAGCCACCCAGGGCCACTCCACCACCTGCTGCTGTCACTGCCTCAGCTGACATCCCCACCTCCCCCAGTGGAACAGGGAGCATAAGAACTTCCTGGAGCTTCCCGCCCTCATCCTGGGTCTCCAGGCCCATCAGAGGGAGGGTAGCCCTTGAGGATGACTAACATCAGCTCCCAACGCCACCTGTGGGTCACCTCCGGACCCCCAGAGCCCATGGCACCCAGAGCCGAAGATCCCAAAGAGTCCTGCAGCCTCCAGCAGAAAAAACAAAGCTGCCGTCAGCCACATCCATGTTCACTTTTCTGGCTGCTTTTAAGCCATTTTCAAGCTCTGGGACCTATTTCCAAGTTTCCCCAAATCTAGACGCCAGCTCAAATGACCTTTTCTGTTTTTTGTTTTGTGGTCCTGGGCATGGAGTCCAAGGCCTCAAACATGCTAGGTAAGTGCTCTACCACTGAGCTACACCCCAAACTTTTTCCTCAGAGACAGTCTCACTGAGTTGCCGAGGTTGGCCTGGAAATGTGTGATCTTCCTACCTCAGCCTATCAAGTAGCTTACAGGTTCAAGCCACCACATTCGGCTCAAACGACCTTTTCTGTTATCAAGGAGTTCAGGGCTTCAAACCAACAAAATAAGGACTGTGAAAGCACAAGGAAGAAAATAAGAGTAACTTCTATGGTTCTCTGCCACGTGTGGGAGTCCCTTGCCCCTCTCACCTGGACCTTCAGGCTCACACGTTCCTTACACACTCAGCATTGTTCACGCCTCTCATCTGGCTTCCATGCTGAGACTGAACCCAGGATCTCACCTCCTGCATGCTAAGCACAGACCCTACCACCGAGCTACAGCCCGAGTCCTGCCGTGGCTTTCTGTCCTCCCATCCTACGCAGGACCATTCTGATGAGATAATCACTAATGCACTTATCAAGATGCAGCCAAAGGTTTGCCATCTCCTCCGATGCGCTTCTAACTTCCTGAGGGTTACCAGGCACAGGATACTCCTGTCACTTAAAAAGCCTCCAGTCCTAGCAGAGAGAGTGGTGCGTGCCTATAATCTCAGCACTCTGGAAGGCCAAGGCAGGAGAACCACAAGTTCAAGCCTAACCAGGGAAACTTAGTGACTTAGCAAGACCCAGTCTCAAAATAATAAGATTAAAAGTGGGGCTGGGGATGGATGTATCTCAGTGTGAAGGACCTGGCATCAACACCTGGTACCACCAAAAAGAATCAAAAGCGCCCAGTCCAGGGGCCGGGAATATAGCTCAGCGGTTCAGCGCCTGCCTGGCAAGAGTGAGGTCCCGAGTTCGATTCACGTTCAAAAAAAAAATATTAATAATAGTAACAGGAGCTGGGGATTTAGCTCAGCGGCAAAGCGCCTGCCTGGCAAGCACAAGGTCATGAGTTCGGTTCCCGGTACCGGAGAAAAAACAAAAAATAAAAAATAAAAATAGTAACAAAAGCACCCAGTCCAGCTCAATGCCTATTCCAGGTAGGAACAGCCTCCGGGTTGACAACCTGGCCCTCTGGGACTCGAGTTCCCAAGTCCCAAGTCCTTTCCTTTATGAGGACAGCCTTAGCAATGCATCATTTCAAACTTCCTTTGTGGGCCTCAGACTTAGATGCCGGGGAGCCCTTGCCCCTGCTGGCCACCAGGGGGCCTGTGATGAGTCCTGCCACACCTTCAAGCTTTCTGCCTCTGCCTTTGCCTCTGAAAACCCCCAGCCAGAGAAGAGCACAGGTTGCCCCCAGGGGACCAGGTGCCCCGCATACCCTGTGCCAGGATGTCCGACTGCACATCTCCATCGTAATTCTTGCAGGCCCACACAAAGCCGCCTGAGGACTTGAGGACCTGGGCCACCATGTCGTCGATGAGCCTGTGCTCGTACCAGATCTTATGTTTGTCAAAGTCCGTCTTGTAGTGCCTGAGAGCAAGAGGCCTGCTGTGTGGGGGAGGACGGGAGCCTTGCGGGTTGGGGACCCTCCCAAGCCTCAGCACCGAGCCCAAAGCACAGGGTAAGTGGCCTCCCCAGGGAGGACAGGGTCAGCACAGGGAGACAGGAGGTATAGCGCCCTCAGGGACCCATAAAGGAAGAGGCTGTTACTTGTCAAAGATCTCCTGGAAGATGTCCTTGAAGCGCCCGTCGTAGGCCTTCAGAATGGTGTTCTTGGTGCTCATGTACAGCGGCCACCTCTTCTGGATGGCGTACTGGAAGCAGCTGTGCGCGAAACCTGAGATGGACTGTGGGGGGAGAGAGGGCCTGGCACGGTGCCCTGGCCTGGGGATTGCCAGCTCCTCAAAAAGCACCCCACCTGCACAAGACCATTCAACCCCAGCCACCACCAAGCGCGCAACTCTTGTTTCTGCTGGTGCATTACCCACCCTCGGAATTTCCAACTTCCAGGAGCAAGCAGTGCACCCCCTTTACTTTGGGCAGCTACCCCCAGGGCTGAGACCCTGTGGCTGGGGTAGGGGAAATGTCCCCAGTTCACAAGCCCACTGCTAATCTAGACAGTGTCCTGGTTTATCCAATCAGAACCCTGCCTCCTGGTTTATCCAATCAGAGCCTTTCCTCCTGGTTTAGCCAGTCTTTCCTTCCCCCGGGCTATGATTGGCTGACCAGGTCACAAAACCTGCTCCTGGCCCTCTTGCTGGAAATCGGAGCAGCAAGGAGACATTCTTTTCCTTCCTTCTTTTTTTTTCTTGGTATCGGGAATCGAACTCAGGACCTTGCACTTGCCAGGGAGGCACTTGTGCCACTGGGCTACATCCCCGGCCCCCTTCCCTCTTTTTTGCTTTTTTTTGCGGAACTGAGGGTTGAACCCAGAGCCTTCACAATGAACTACATTCTCAGCCTTTTTTTGTCTTAATTTTGAGACAGTCTTGCTAAGTTGCCCAGGATGTGTCAGAATTTGCGATCCTCCTGCCTCAGTCTCTCAGAGTGCTGGGGGCCCTGGTTGTGCGGGAGGTCACTCTTTTCTATAGAACAGCCAAGCAGGCAGGGGATAAAACTGGAGTGACAGGGCCACCCTGGAGGAAAGGGGTGAGGGAGGTGGCAGGAAGGGAGGGTCTGGGCCTACCTCGTCGGTGTTGTACATGCCCATGCCCACGCCGCCCACGGGGAAGTTGTACACCTCCCACTCCTTGGCGCCACTGCCATCCTTCGGAGTGAAGACCATCTTGAACGTGCCGGCGCGGTCTACCACGAAGTCAGTGGCCTTGTACTGCAGAGGCAGAGGACAGCTGGGTCAGGCCAGGGGTTCCTGGCTGCCGCCCACCCCAGCCATGTCCCCACCGCCCACCTGGTCACCGTGCGCGTGCCTCCCGATGGTGATGGGCTTGGTCCAGCCGGGGACCAGGCGCGGGATGTTTTTGCAGATGATGGGCTCTCGGAAGACTGTGCCCCCGAGGATGTTTCGGATGGTCCCGTTGGGGCTCTTCCACATCTTCTTCAGCTTAAACTCTAGGGACAGAGATGAAGCAGCCCCTGCAGGCCCAGACTCCACCCAGGACTCGAACCTGAGCAACACAGACCAGACAGGAGTCTGGCGCCAGGGGCACAGGGGCAAGTCAGAAACCTCTCAGTGTGAAGCCACCAGTTCCAAGGAATAGTGGGGCTTGCACTGTACAGGGAAAGCTCTGCAGCGCCTGGGTCTGGGTCTCGACTACTGAGTGTAAAGGGCCCCTTGGTGCCTGGCCCACACCACCTGTTCTGCCATGTCATCCCCACAGCCTGTGTGGAGGTGGCTGGCTATGATTCCCGACAGGGCAGGGTATGCCCGCACCACTGAGGCCGTGGCCCTCTAGTTCCTTGTCCAGAAAATGAGGCTATAGAAATCCCAGAATTTAGCTGGCCATGGTGGTGGTGCATGCCTGTAATCCCAGCACTCAAGGCTGAAGCAGGAGGACCACTGTGAGTTCGAGGCCACCCTCAGCTACATAGCAAGTTCAAGGCCAGCCTGGACTATATAGCAAGACCCTATCTCAGGAAGAAGAAAAAAGAAAAGAAATCCCAGGATTTGGGAGAAAGCAAAGAGCTCAGCGTTGACTCCGGTACTCTGACCAGGCTTGCTTGGGAGGACAGGAGGCAGCTGAAGGGGTTGCAGATGTTTCCTACATGCTTCCAGCCAGCTCCCTCAGGCTGCAGGAGTTAGAAAGAGGATTCAAAAAACTCCTAAAACTCTGTGTGTGTGTGTGTGTGTGTGTGTGTGTGTGTGTGTGTGAGAGAGATGTGGGGGGTTGAGCCCAGAGTCTTGTGGATGCCAGGCAAGTGCGCTACCTCAACCCTTTCTAAATTTTGAAACAGCATCTTACTAAGTTGCCCAGGCTGGCCTCAAACTTGCCATCCTCCTGCCTCAGCCTCCTAAGTAGCTTGGATTATAGTTGCATACCACGATACCCAGCCCTAACCCATCCTTTCCTGAATTATCCCCACATTGGTGCCGTTTAACAAAACCCTTGAGAGCAGCCTCCAGAACCAGACTCAGTGGGTGAGTGGGCCCCTCTCAGAGTTCTGTCCATGACCTCCGTGGAAGGGACACTCTGTGAGTCCAGGACAGTGGTAGACAACTTTAGTCATGCTCTCCAGAGGCCTCTGAGGTCCCAGACACACAGCTGCCCTCCAAACAGCCACTCTATCCCCAGGTTCAGACAGAGAGGCTCCCCATGGAAGCCACCATTATAATGACACCTTCAGCACTGCCTTCCCCACCGCCTTCTCTGCCCCGTGACCTACAACCCCGCCACCACTGGATCCGCGCAGCACACCACCCACCTGCGCCAGAGGATGTGGAGTCCAGGCTCAGCTCTGCTGTACCCCAGCATGGAGTCCAGGCCACCCCTTAACCGTGCCTCTCGCAGCCAAGTCCACAGCAACCTCGAGGACCTTCTATCCAGCAGGTCCTCCCAGAGCCTGGGGTCTTGTCCCTGTCCCTGTCCCAGCTCCGATGCCCCACCCCCCAGGGTCCCCTGTCCCCCCACCCGCCCTCATACCTTCCACACGGGCCTCGTCCGGGGTGATGGTGGCACACTTGACAGCCACGCTGTACTTCTGTGTGGCCAGCGCAGAGTCAATGGTGACCTGGTCATTGGTTTGGTCACGATGTGGGAGCCCGAGGTCAAAATACTTGAGCTGGACATCCACGTGAGGCAGGATGAGCTGCAGAAGGGGCGGGGCAAGATGTCAGTCCCGGTGACTATGACCCAGGATGGGACATCAGGGCTTGAGAAGTCCGGGACGGTGGCAGGGGACACTAGCCAGGATGAGGATGGGGGGGAGGCCGTGGCTGGGGCACAGCAGAGGGCACTATGCCCATAATCCTAGCTACTCAGGAGGTTGAGGCAAGAGAATCACTTCACTAGGAGTCCAGACCAGCCTGGGCAACACAGCGAGAGCCTTGCTTGGGGCTGGGGATTTAGTTGGGGCTGGGAATTTAGCTCAGCGGCACAGCGCCTGCCTGGCAAGTGCAAGGTCGTGAGTTCAATTCCCGGTACTGGAAAACAAAACAACAACAACAAAAAAAAAAACAGCAAGAGCCTTGTCTCCCAAATACATGGTCTGAAGTCATGCAGCCTGAGCACCAGCATGAGACACATGGCTTGGGGCCGACCCCTGCCTGAGGACAAGATCCGTGACTGACAGGTCCCCACAAGAAGATGGGTGACAGAGGTGAGAACAGGACTGTCTTCCAGGATGACAGGCAAGGCCAGGGGACCTTGTGGGCCGGACACCTCCCTGGCTGGCAGCCTGAACAGACTCCACTTCCAGGAGGGACACTACCTTCTCCTTGATGAACTGCCAGATGATGCGGGTCATCTCGTCACCGTCCATCTCCACCACCGGCTTCGCCACCTTGATCCTCTTGTCGGCATCTGGAAGAAGCGAGCACCGGACATCAAGCCCTGGCCACTCCCACCCCCGCACTGAGGGGGAGGGGAGGGGAGACCCAGCTGCTCGTCCCCTCTGCAGACACAGCTCCCTGACCACAGGTCCCCTGCGGAGTAAGAACAGGCAGGGCCAGCCAGAGAGCGCCCCATGTCACCCCAGGCAAGGGGCTGGCCAGCCTGGCTGCCAGATCTGAAATATGAAGACCAAGGAGACTGATAGAATGGCAGCTGGCTGGGACTGGTTGGGGCTGGCTGGGGCTGGCTGGGGCTGGCTGGGGCTGGCCGGGGTTGGCCAGAGCTTGGCCACCCAGTTCCGCGGGGTGGCCGGCACACCTCCTGTCCAACCCTCGGCTCTTTATAGTTCTGCTTGTACCCTGTGAGCCATGCTGTGTCCTTCCCTTAAACCCTCTCAGAGGTAGCCAGCCACTAAGCAGCAGCTGAAGCACAGTACAGCCCAAAAACAGCCCAAGCGGAAATGGTTCTCTCTACTTTAAACGTAGGGAGATTGGAGCTGCGGGTGCAGAGTGCCTGCAAGCACAAGGCCCTGGGTTCAAGCCCCAGAGCTAAAGAAAACTAGGGCAGGGGCGCTGAGACTCAGAGAAGCACCCAGGTCCAGGCAGCTCAGGCTGAGAGGCCTTTCAAGGATGACATCAGCTGACGTGGGAGGCAGTGCACGGGGACGGTCAGGGGTCGGGGGAATCTCTTCAGGGAATGGTGGCTTCACAAGAAGGAAATCCCAAAGAAAACTCAAGGAAATGGCCCATGTCATTTATGGCGCTGCCACCAGGGCTGATGGCGCTGCCACCAGGGCTGGACTTCAGCCCGCAGCAGCCTGGACCACTGGCACAGCGCTCTGCCCGAGGCCTTGGGGGAAGCAGCAGCCAAACCTCAGTCATTCAGAAATGTCTAAGCCGGGCGTGGTGGCGCACGCCTGTAATCCCAGCACTCGGGAGGCTGAGGCAGGAGGATCGGCGCAAGTTTGAGACCAGCCTGGGCTACAAAGTGAGCTCAAGTCCAGCCTGAACTGCAGAGCGAGACCCTGTCTCAAAAAGACCAAAAAAAAAGAGAGAAATGTCACCCATGATGGGGACCCAGCTGCAAGAACTGTGCCTTCCTCAGAGGAGCACTCAGGCCTCCCTTAGACCCCCACTCCACACGGTCCTCACAGATGTCCTCGAGTCTCTCAAAACGCAGTGGATCAGGGAGGGAGAAGGTGTCTACCTAGGAACTGAGCCAAGGGCTGGGCTGCAAGGACCTGGGTTCCATCCCAAGGGCATGGCCACCTCAGCACATTTAAAACAAGTGACCCAGCCTGGCACACACCTATAATCCCAGCACTCTGGAAGGCTGAGGCAGGAAGATCATAGATTTAAACCCACTAAGAGATCTTTTCTCAAAATAAATCAAAATGCCTGGGGATGTAGCTCAGCGTGAAGGCCCTGGGTTAAATCCCCAGTGGGGCAGTAAGAAAAACATTTTTAAAAAATAAAATAAGTGACCAAAGCCCAACAGATCTCAAACATCTTGTCCTACAAAACACATATCAGTCCTAAGCCATGATGACTTCTCTGTCTGCTAAGAAAAATGAAAAATTTAAAGTATGTTCTGTTCTTTTTCTTATTTTTGGTATTTTTAGGGGGGTGATGGGCATGGGTCTCATACATACACGCTAGGCAAGCGCTTACCACTAAGCTATACCCCTACTCTTAAAAATCCTTAAATCGCCAGGCATGGTGGCACACACCTGTATTCCCAGCACTCGGGAGGCTGAGGCAGAAGGATCTTTGCAAGTTACAGACCAGCCTGTGCTACAGAGTTAGCTCAAGGCTGGCCTGAACTGCATAGCAAGACCCTGTCTCAAAAAGACAAAAAAAAAAAAAAATCCTTAAATCATGTACAGCAAGACAACTTATTTTCCAAATAAGTGCAAACAAATTTTTTGTTAATCTACAGAGAATCTTAAAGATAATTTATGGGGGGGAAGAGAGAGGCCCCAGGAGTGCATTTGTGCCAGACACAAGCACGATAGAGCCCAGGGCTCTAGCTCAAGGGCCGCCCCAGAAGTCTGGGCCAAATACAGTAGGCAAAGGTTGATGAGAAACAGCTTGTTCCCTAGGAAATGAAAGGGCTGTTCCACTGCCCTCCCAGATGCCATGGGATTTAGGACTCAAGCTACTAAATTCTTTCACTTTGGTCTGGAGTCTTCGTGGGAAGGGTCTTGGGACCTTCAGAAGGTGTGCTGGGCTGTTGTTTGTTTGGTTCTTTTCTTTTCTTTTTTGAGCACTGATGATTGAATCCAGGGCCTTCACACTGAGTTACACCACATCCCCAGCCTTTTAAAAAAATATTTTAGGGGTCTGGCGATTTAGCTCAGCAGTACAGTGCCTGCCTGGCAAGCGCAAGGTCGTGAGTTCGATTCCCGGTACCGGAAAAAAAAAATTTTTTTTTAAATGACTTTTTAAAATAATTTTAAGACAGGGCCTCCTTAAATCGATAAATTGCTCAAGTTGGGCTTGCACTGACTGTCCATCTGCCCCAGACTCCCAGAATCCTGGGATTATAGGCAAGCTAACTTAGCTTTTACGAGTGTCTTCTATGAGTTGAGAACAGGTAATCAAGTTTTTAAAAAAAAATTGACCTTATAGGCCAGGTGTGGTGCACGCATGTAATCCCAGCACTCAGGAGGCTGAAGCACGAGGATCTTTGCAAGTTCAAAACCAGCCTGGGCTACAAAGCAAGCTCAAGGCCAGCCTGAACTGCATAGCAAGACCCTGTCTAAAAAAGACAAAAAAAAAAAAAAAACATAAAAACCTGACCTTATATCATAAGCAGGACTCCTAATGTGGAACCAATCTGCAATCCAATTCCAAAGGTTTTAGTCTTCACCTAGCTCCAGGGCTGGGAGCTACAGGCATGAACAGCCCCAAAGCTCTGGGTGCTCCACCTCTTCCAGGGGGACCCTGATGTGCATGGAGGTGTTGAGCCCTCAGAGAACAGGGGGTTCTAAGCACCCTTCCCACTGGATATTGAAATGCTGAGGACACAGCAGTGCCACCCGACAGGGAGGACACCTACAGGTAACAGTCAGCGGCAAGCGGCAGCATTACCCAAGTCAGGTGGCTGCGGCCTCCCTGAAGTCACATTCAGGAGCAGCAGGGACAGAGATGTGCATCAGAGCCTGCTGGCAGTGTATTTGTAGATACTCATTGGTGACCAAGGTTTACAATTAAGGAGATTAGGGCTGGGGATTTAGCTCAGCGGCACAGCGCCCGCCTGGCAGGCATGAGGTCATGTGTTCAATTCCCAGTACCGAAAAAAAAAAAAAAAAATTAAGGAGATTGAAGCCGGGCGTGCTGGTGAATGCCTGCAATCCCAGCACTCAGGAGACTGAGGCAGGAGGATTGTTGCAAATTCAAGACCAGTTTGGGCTACAAAGTAAGCTCAAGGCCAGCCTGAACTGCACAGCAAGACCCTGTCTCAAATAAGACAAAAAATAAAATAATAAAATAAAATGTTCTAGCCGGGCATGGTGACACATGCCTGTAATCCCAGTACTCAGGAGGCTGAGGCAGGAGGATCATTCTGAGTTCCAGACTGGCCTGGGTTACAAAGTGAGCTCAAGGCCAGCCTAAACTGCATAGTGAGACCCTATCGCAAAAAGACAAAAATTAAATAAAATAAAGTTAAGGAGACTGAATGTATCAATAAAGCAAGTAACAACAGTCTTAATAAACTGGCAGGCTTAAATAGACATTTCTGCAAAGAGGATGTACTAGATGATATACTAGAGCCCACATATATGCAAACATGGTTGAGATGAAACTTGGTGATAGAGTGTTTGCCCAGCATGCACCAGGGTGCAATCCTTGCAACCCCTCCACAAAAAAGGTGGCCAGTATTACTGGTCTTTTTTTTTTTTTTTTTCCTGGTACCAGGAATCAAACTCACAATCTTGTACTTGCCAGGCAGGTGCTGTGCCACTGAGCTAACTCCCCAGCCCCTATTACTGGTCATTAGAATAAAACTGAAACCACAATGAAATACAACCCTCACACTTTAAAATGGCTACTATCAAAAAGGAAAAAAAAGCTGGGCATGGTGGCACACGCCTGTCATCCCAGCACTCAGGAGGCTGAGGCAGGAGGATTGTTGTGAGTCTGAGGCCAGCCTGGGCCACAAAGTGAGCTCAAGGCCAGCCTGAACTGCACAGAGAGACCCTGTCTCAAAAAGACAAAAAACAAAACAACAAACAGAAGTCCAGAGATGGCCAAGGGTGACTGGGGGTTGATACTCCTGCCCTGAGCACTTGGAAACAGCTAAGATGGTAAATATGTGGTGGGTTTTTACAAAAAGCAAAAAAAAAAAAAAAAAAAAAATTCATACAAATAGAAGTTAAGCCAGTCCTTCCCCCAAGATGCAGATGATTTTTACACGAAAATCTAGATATGCAGCCCATCTTGAAAAGTGAGGTGCCCCCTCGCATGGCAGACAGGGCAGGCTGAGTGGCCCAGCTCACCCTCCAGGGCACCCCAGGTTTCAGAACTTGAGCCCCCCGGGTGCTATGCAGCCCATGCGATGAGGACACAGCCATGCTGTCCCTCTCAGAGCCAGGAGTGACAAGTGATCTGAAATATAAGGAGCAGTGCGACCTCCCTGCAAACCTCCAAAGTGACAGCTGCCAGGAATCTCCACCTGACCGCGCTCCCGGCCAGTGTGGGACAGAATTACACCAGTGACAAGTAGCCCTGGGTGACTCTCCTCCAGCAGAACTGCTTCCTGCACATTCCTACCGAACAGACTCGGCGGCCTGGAGCCCTGTCCTGAGCAGCACCTCCTCTCACACCCAATCCAGGCCATCAGCAAATCCGAGTGGCTTGCTCTTCAAACACATCCTGCTCCCACCCCAGCACAGACACCTTCTCCTGTGGAGGCCGTGACTGTCACCTCCTAGCAGGCCCCTGAGGCCAGGCGGGCTGTCGTGAGTGGAAGCCAGGCCACGGCACAGCTCTCAAAACCCTGCAAAGCCTCCTCTTTCACTCCTAACAAAGGCCACAGTCCTGAGAATCAGCCTAGAAGCCGGCGGTGCGCTTCAGCAGTGCAGCACCTGCGAGCGTGTGCGAGGCCCTGAGCAGAGCGCTGGGGGCGTCACAAGGAACCTCACCTCCTGTCACGCACCAGTGTGGCTGAGCTGCCTCTGGCCCCCACCAAGGCCTGGGCACCTACAGGTCCCTCTTCCCTGCCACAGGGCAGCCTGCTTCTTCCCTCCTCCTTTCCTGCACGGAGGTCCTTTCTGGCTGCCCTGTCCACACACATACACACTCTGCACACATGCACGCACACACTCACACCTTCCCTTTTTATTCCTTCCCCTAAGCTCCTGTGACCATACACTGTGCTATCTTGTTCACTACATGCCCCCTCCCGGCGTCCTTGCTTGCCGCTCTTATTCCAGCTCTCTCCCCAGCACCTTGCCCAGGGTCCAACACTCCACTGGAGCACTACACTTGTTGAAAGTACAAATGAAGGTCAAATTATAATTAGCTCGGCAGCATCTGGGCTTCCCACCCTCCTTTCCTCCAGGGGCGCCCGAGTTCCCTCAAGGGGCGGTGCCACCGGCCGGCCGGGAGTTCCCGCCAGGACGGCAGAGGCATGGGCGAGGCCTGCCAGGCCATGGGCCCCTTGCCCCGGACGCTCGCTCACAGCTGAGTACGGCCCTAGCTGCAGCGTGGGGCTGGGCAGTTCTGGGCAGCAGAGCACATGCTCAGCATGTTCGGTCCCGGCACCCAAAAAAATTCTACCGGCGTTTTTAACAAGGGTCTACATAGCAGACCCCAGGGCAGCCCCCAAACCCTGGCTTCTGGCAACAAACGGGCAATTTCCAGCACCACACACCCTCAACCTCACACAGAGGATTTGGGGCAGGCCCCACGCTTCCCAGAGGCCTCCGCTCAACACCTACTGAGCCTGAACACAAGCTCCTGGCCCAGCTGGGGTGGAGGGGCCTGGGGGGCTGGAGTAACTGGGGTCTTCTCTGATCCCGCTCAAAGGAGGCTCAGCAGAGAACCCTGCAGCTGTGAAGGCAACACTCTCGTCACCAAGTAATTTGCCCTACAGTGCAGGCAAGCCACCAAGAAGGGGAAGAGTACAGCTGAGGGGCCCCCGTGAGAAAATTAAGTCGTTCCTGGCTGGGAGCAGAATAAAGAAAGGAAGCACTTGAGGGAAGTACTGCCTCAAGCTTATCAGATTCACCAGCAGCGGCCACAGGGCCCTCAAAGTTAGAGACACGTGTGGGAATGACCAGACAGCAAATGCACAGCACCTTTTCAGCCAAAAAATATTCTTCCCTTGTCCTCAAAAGGAATGACAAGTATTGTGGTTCCAGCAGCGTTGCCAGGTAACAAGCTGGAGAGGTCTAAACTGTAGAGACTGAGGTCCAACTCAAACAGCAGACATTTGTTTTCCCCACACATAGCCACCCCACTCGGGGACTTCCCAAAGGACCTACATCGAACTGCTTTTTCCTCTGTATCCAATGGTTTTTGTTTGTTTGTTTGTTTGTTTTTGTACCAGGAAAGGAACTCAGGACCTTGCACCTGCCGCTGAGCTATATCCCCAGGCCTCCAAATTCTTGTTAATATAGTTTTTTTGTCGTTTCCGTTTTGCTTTGTTTCTCTTCTTTACCATCAGTGTAGAAAAGGGGGAGGAAAATCTATCTCACAGCTATCATATGTTGCTGAAGCCAGGGCCTGTATGGGAATCTTTGGGGTCTGGGGCCTTTGCAACTCTGGAGTTTTGAAGACTGACCCCTTAGCAACAGATCCTGGGGTAGGAAAGCAGAAATGCCCTTTTCTCCTTGGCAGAGTGTGGGGACTGGGACCCAGCTCGGGTCAGCCACTCCTACACTCGTTAAATTAAAGATTACCCACCCACTGGGCCAGGACTAGCCAGGGGCGCCGCCCTCGCCCTCTCCTGTCTCTAACCGAGGGGGTTACCTGAGCAGGATAGGGGTTTCCGTGGCAACAGGCATCCAAAAAGGCCCAGGGACCTACACTGTCGCGGCTCTTGCAGCGGAGCGTGGGGTAGCCAGAGCGAGGGGTGTACCGATGCCCACATGCCAGGCTAGGCAGCTCTCAGTGATCTTGGTGGCTCAGGCTAAGTGCTGCTTTTCGTGCCTTTTCTTTCCCAAGCTGGGAGGTGGCCGAGACACGGGGAAACGACCGGAGAAAGCCACATTTTGGGCGCCCGCACTTGAGGCCAGATCTCCGCGGCCAGTCAGCCAGGCAAGACCCACAAACGGGCCGATCTGGGCGGGCAGCAACAAAAGGCCAGGTCGAGCCAAGGCGAGAGGCACCGGGACGGAGCCTCGGAACAGCTACCGGGGCGGAGGGGGAGGGGAGAGGCAGCCGAACAAAAAGGAAGAATTAAAAGGACACTCCTCCAGCTGTCGAGTAAAGGCTCCAAAAATAGCTGACGTGGGCCCGAGAGCAAGTAGGGACCGGAGCGCGCCGGAGTGCAGAGGAAGGGGAAGTGGGTGTTTCTCCCCTCCCCGCCTTTGTGCAAGCGGGGAGCCCACGCGCTCGGCCGGGCTCCGGCTGAGGCTCCAGCACCACTGGGGTGCTCTCGTCTCTCCAGAGGCGCCGGACGCGCAGAGGAGCCCGGGTCGGGCCGCCCCGACCCCCACCCGCAATGCCGGGGGGGCGCGGAGCAGCCCCGAGTCCGGCCGCGCAGACCAAGCCATC